TTGAGGATTTGAAAGAATTTTTTTTAAATAATAATATCATGTACTAATAGATTTTGCATTTTATTCAAGATTATATTTAAATATATATCATCTAGAGAAAAGGTTTATTTTTATATATTGTCACTGAATAATTAATTAAAAGGTGCCCAATTTTACTCGTCAATGAACCTAAGCTCTGGATATTGGCAGATAGAGGTAGACGAGGCAGATAGAGAGAAAACCGCCTTTATAACCCCAGATGGTTTATATGAATTTCTCGTGATGCCCTTCGGCCTATGCAACGCCCCTGCAACATTCGAGCGTTTGATGGACAAAATCTTAAGGGGATTGAATTGGACGCAGTGCTTAGGCTATCTAGACGACATTGTAGTTTTCTCCAAAACGTTTGAAGAACACTTGCACCGACTCAAAATCATCTTACAATGCCTTAGCAATGCAGATTTGAGCCTCAATTAAAAAAAAGTGTATTTTTGGAACCAAACGAATAAGAGTGTTTGGACATCTCGTCGATGGCAACGGCATCTATCCCGACCCTGAAAAGATAGAAGCTATCGCCCAGTTTCCGACCCCACGATCTATCACTGAGGTGAGGAGAGTCATCGGCATTTGTCCGTACTTTCGCCGATTTATTGAACACTTCGCCGATAAAGCTGCCCCTCTCCATGAAATTCTCGAAAAAGGCAAGACATTCTCTTGCAACTTAGAAGAACAAGAAGCTATTGAATCACTAAAAAGGGCCCTAATGTCTGAACCTGTCTTAGCTGATTTTGAAGAACACCTGCCAACCCAGCTTCATACTCACGCCAGCGGTTATGGTATCGGAGCAGTCCTCGTTTAGGTCCATGACGGGAAAGAGCGACCAGTGGGTTACGCCTCAAGAACCTTAACAAAGGCAGAGAAGAATTACTCCACTACAGAAAGTGAATGTTTGGCAGTGATAAGGGCAATGAAAAAAATCCCGCCTCTACCTCTTTGGTCGCCAGTTCGTCATCACGTACGGATCACCACACCCTTTGCTGCTTATCAAATTTGAAAGACCCGACAGGAAGCCTGGCGAGGTGGGTCATTAAACTCCAAGCATACGACGTTAGGTTAGCTTATAAAGCGGGCGTAAGCACCATGACGCAGACTGTCTCTCCCGATTACTTTTTTAATAATATGTTTATAACTGTTTCTGTTTAAAAAAAATGTAAATCGACGCAATTATCCCTAGCCGGGATATCGCGTTTGTGTGTTGAAATAAATAAATAAATAAATAAAATTATTTTGTCTTTGTTAGGAGAAATAAAAATAAAGGACTTGGCAAGGCGTTAGAAATTATAGCGTATTGTATTAATGGTCTTATAAATCTAGCACTTTAAACTATTTTAGTTGAAGTTATTCAAGAAAACTATGAATGCATAGATTTTGAAGACAACTAGCGCCATCTGTTAGAGGCTTTTGAAAGCAATTTTCTATCTAGATTACTTTTATATTTAAATTTGTTAATATCTATTTTTATAAAATACAATATTTGTGTGTGCTTTGAAGGCTTTGGAGCGTTCCCAGAAAAGGTTAACTTTGGTAGGCGGCGCTGTACGTTGCCATCGCCGTACCTTCGAGGCGTTTCACACGAGTTAAAAATACAATTTCGGTGAAATACTTTGAATTTTACCAAATTAAATATATAAATTTAAATTATAATTTAAAAAAGATTTAATAGTTTAAAAAAAAACATTTTTTTAAATATAAAATATTAAACTAATTTTTCTAAAAACGAACATTATTTTTTTAATTATCTGAAACTAACCTAATTCAACTTATCTAAAACTAACCTTATTTAGCGATTAAACTGACCTAAATTAACCTATTTGAATCTAACCTATTTTAATTAATGAAACTAACCTTTTTATAACACACCTTAAAATAACCTAATTTATAACCCATCTGGAACTTACCTATTTAACCTATTGGAATATAACATAACGTCATGTTATTAAAAATGTATTAAGATTTTTTTTTACTAAGTTTATTAATCACATCTTATACAATATTTGTAAAATAAATATAAAACTTGTGTATAAATATATGACTTGAAAATATGCCACTTAAAATATTTTAATCTAAACTATACCGAGATTTTTTTATAGAGAGAAATAAAAAAATACATAATTGATTAGCTACAAAAGTGTGAACCAGAAAGTCGATTTTTAAAAATGTTATTATTTAATATAAGAGTATTTTAATTTATTTTGAAAATGAAAAGGTAGTGTAATAGTGTATATGAGGTTAGATTCAAATAGGTTAAATTAGGTCAATTTAATCGCTAAATAAGGTTAGTTTTAGATAAGTTGAATTAGGTTAGTTTCAGATAATTAAAAAAATAATGTTCGTTTTTAGAAAAATTGGTTTAATATTTTATATTTAAAAAAAAAATTTTTTTTTTTAACTGTTAAATCTTTTTAAATTATAATCTAAATTTATATATTTAATTTGGTAAAATTTAAAGTATTTCACCGAAATTGTATTTTTAACTCGTGTTAAAACGCCTCGAAGGTACGGCGGTGGCAACGTACAGCGCCGCCTACCAAAGTTAACCTTTTCTGGGAACGCTCCGAAGGCTTTTTGATAAAATTATTATTATTTTATTTTAATATATTTATTTTTATAAAGCGTAAAGAATTTTCCGTTCGGCTTGTGTTTATTGAATTAGATTCCACAGTTTTGATTAATATTGGGGAAGGGATGTGTTTTGCTCTTCTCCAAAAAATATGTTATACTTTTATTTAATATACAAGGTTGTCCCAAAAGTTCGTAAACACTTGCGAAACATTGAAATTCCAATATTATTTGCCATAATATTAATCGCCGTTATGTATAATGTCTTTGTATTATGTATAAAGCAATTGTAAAAATTATAAACTATTATAGACGCGTATGATTCTTTTTAAAATTAAACAATTTATGCTGCCCTTACTACAATGAAAAAAAAATTAATGGGAGGACCTGGCTCATCAGCGGTGAACCCTCACAGCGGTTTCGTAAGTTTAATCTACCGAGACCATACTGAAACACAAACAAAACGAATTGGTTGCATTGATTGCCATTGATATAAGTGGTGCGTTTGATAATGCGTGGTGGCCTGCCTTAATAAAAAGAATGGACGAAGACCACGTCCCAGCAGTTCTTATAAAAATCATCCAATCATTTTTAAATCGGAGAAGAAAAACAAGTCTCACCTTCTCGAATACTACAATTTCAAAATATTTATCAAAGGGATGTCCTCAAGGCGGACCATTATCACCTTTATTGTGGAATATAGTCCTGAATGATTTGTTGATCAACTTCGCATCCTCAAATTCTGAAATAATCTGTTATGCGGATGATGTTTCCATTGTTTGCTGGCACAAGACCATAGAAGGGTTAAAAAATGAAACAGAAAGTACTTTAAATTATGTAATACAATGGTGTACAAGAAATAAGCTAAAACTAAGCCCGGAGAAAACCGGCTTAATACATATGCACGGCAAACAAAATATTCCAATGGGAACTCCAAACTTCATAATAACACCAGTAAAAGAAGTAAAAATTTTAGGTATAAAATTTTCTAATCACAGAATTAAGTCAAATATTAACTTCACACCCCACATTAATGATATTCTTTGTAAAATCAACCGTATGAAAAATCTGTTATTTTCACTCTGTGGGAAAATGTGGGGATTGGATGCTAAAAAAAGATTAATTTTATATAAAACTCTTTTCAGGCCAATACTAACCTATGGATCTGAAATATGGTATAAATTTATTAATAAAAGAAGTGAACAAAGATTAAACTCTCAGCAATATCAGATTCTTCTTTGGGTAGTGAGAGCCTATAAAACGACCTCATCAAATTGTATTCATAGTTTGGCAAAAATACCTATTCTCACGGATCACATAGAATCGTTGATAATAAAATACGATTTGGCCAATTTATCAAAAGAAGAAATTAATGTATTCAGACCGCATGCCCCAACTATAATTTATAACTTCATAGAATCAAGAATGGCTGAAACAATAGCTAACACTAATGAAACATTCCGAAAATTTTTCCCATTTGGAATTCCTTTTTATTTTCGTCCGAATTTTTATAACTCACAGTTCGTAACGGGTCATGGTAATTTTGGAGAATTTTTGTCGAAAATCGGGGCAACGGATGATCCTAGCTGTTTCTGTGGAAAAGACAACCAAGACTCAATACATTTATTAATAGAATGTCCGATATTTCACAGCTTCAGAATTAATCATTTTTATCCCATCGAAGAAATTTGCGAATTTGTATATAACAAAGACACTTATGTAAAATTCAATAATTTTTGTAAATTCATTTTGGATTTTCTCTTCTGTTTGAGAGGGCCATCGTTTCAGTTTTAATTGTGTTTTTAGTCGGTTATTGAGTTGTATATAATGAATTGTATATAGGTTGCTAAAATAATTTATTTTATATTTTCTCTTCTGTTTGGGAGAACCATCGTTTCAGTTTTAATTGTGTTTTTAGTCGGTTATTGAGTTGTATATAATGAATTGTATATAGGTTGCTAAAATAATCCATTTTAGATTTTCTCTTCTGTTTTGGAGTGCTATCGTTTAAGTTTCAATTATGTTTTTTGTTCGGTTATTAAATTGTATAAAATGAATTGTATATAATCTACTAAAATGTATTTAGGCGCAAGTATCCCGAGCTGGGATATCGCGTCCGATGTGTCAAATAAATAAAAAAAATACAGCTGTTATATTGCATTTTTCTATCTATAATGCAACATAATAAAGTAATTGTATTATGTATTATTATATATTCGCCGTAATAATATTATTCGACAAGTAATAAGAAAGAAAAAACGTTTTAATGAAAATATATTTATTTACGGGGCTGCTAACCAGAATGAATGATTTTTTAAGCCCTAATGGACGCATAAAGCGGAATATATGCAAAGCACTATATACATTGCACTGTTGAAGGCCCCTGGGGATGAAAGAAAAAAAGGCACAGCCGAGATTCGAATTCAGGATCTCCTGTTTACTAGACAGGCGCTTTACCAAACTAAGCCACGGCGCCACACAACGTTTTAAGAAAAACACGAATTTTTGGGACAATCTTATAATAAGCTTATATTATTTGTTCTCTACAGTAGTAGATATCTCTGATAATTATAAATAGAGGTAAAGAAGATACGTGTGGAGGAAGTAAGATTGTAGATCATTGATTTACTATTTTCAATTTTCCCATTGCAAAGTTTGACCACTCTGTTGAAAAAAAAAGGATGATAGGAGAAGGAACAGATCACTAGAGGATTCTATTGAACGGTAATCAACCTCAAACTAAAAAGTAAGATAGCACAACACTACTAACTAACAAAGACATCTATTTATATACAATGTAATACACAACAGAGTAACAGATCACTGGTCAATAACAATTATATTATTGTTATGAATTCTCATTCCAACATACTCATATGGACATCGCTATCTCCATCTGCAGATCATTGCTTAGGTGCCACGCCTTCTCCAGCCACAAGGCAGAAATGTCCCATCATGAAGAAGACTCTTTCAAGTTGGAAGAGCCTCCCTCTCGCTGAAGAAAATTTTCTAATGTCTATCATTTCTGCATATATATCATTTATTTGCCTTCTACATGCTGACGAGCGCCAACAGGGCGAAACGCGTTCGTTTTCTTGATTTATCAAGAAATTGAGTTGGCCAAATACCAGGGAACAGGTTAAATCAATGAATAGTTGATTTCTGTTCCACCAGATGGGCTCTGCCTTCTGAAGAGCACATGTGCTCCTGGTCAGGATACGACTTTTCTATTTTTTTATATATCATTTAGTATCTCAATTTATAGATATAAATAGTCATAGACACCGAATTCATCGATTGAGCTTACAATTTGCTAATGTCTTGTAGCTCCCAAGTATTTCAAGATGTAGTCTGGTGATGCCTTTGTCTTGAGGATGACACTCTGTAGAGAATATTGAACCATGCCTAAAGAGGAATGCTCTTGTATTGCCATTTTTGAGCCTGGAAATACAGCTTGCCACCAATAGGTGTATACCACATACCCAGAAATTATCAAGGATTTTGTTTGAAATGTCGTTTCACGGTTATATCTACATATAAACGAAAGATACAACAGGCATTCTTATATAATCAGGAGAAATACCTAACTTGGACCTTGATTTTTCACATCTAGTTGAACATCTCGACAGAAGAAAAAGAATCACCATATTTCTTACATCCTCCTCTTCTATAAAACTAAATAATTTTAGGAATTAGTTTCAATTAAAAAAGATTTCGAATTTTTTGGCGAACATAGATATTTCAGATTCTATTGGAGGAATGTAAATTTGAAAAAAATAAATAATTAAAATATCGCTCACGCCGTCTGATTTGACAAATATAACAATGCTTGTATATGAAAATAAATACAGAGCCACAAACACATACTACTATATTCTGATTTAATACTTAGGGAAATTGTTAGGTTAACATGATAATTTGTTAAATGCTTTTGCGAATGCTAACCCTTTTATTTATCAATTGCAGAGTACACGCTATATCCACAATTCGGATATTTGCGTGTGAAATATATACATTTAAATGAAAAACAAAAAAAGAAAAAGTATTTTAAAGAGATATATACATATTTACATATCAGTATGCAAATTGTTGCATTAGTAGTCACTTATTTAGTTAAGTACATTCTGCAGAATATGTTGAATCTTTGGTGTATGTCCTTAGTGTAGACCAGATGTTACATATTTGTTATGGGAGTTTGATTTAGTTCCCTAAGGTCAGCGGGCAGTCAGTTAAAAAGTGTCTGGGGTTCTGTTCTTCGCCTCCACACGAGCATCCAGGTGATTCAGCTTTGCCAATTTTAAACAGGTATGAGTTGAAGTCGCCATGTCCAGTGAAGAATTGCACATTATATAAGTTAGGTTTGATATAATTAGGAATTCTAACCATGCCCCTCTCAATATTCCTTATCCTAGTAAGGAAAGTATATTAAAACAAGAACATTAAACATCCAGGGAAGAGTTTTTTTAATTTTTTTTTTAAAGAAACTTTTCCCTGGAGGCTAAATGTTCTTTTTTTAAATATTGATTCAAGGGATTATTTTATCGAAAGAAAGTATATGTTTGTTTTATTTTGAAAAGAGAGAGAGATTTTTGAGATTTGAATATTAATTTATTGACATCCATTTAACAATTATACTATAAAACAAAACAATTGGGAATCAAAATTATTTACATCAGACTGAAGGGACGTCTAGAATTCATGAGCTTCACAAGCCGCCTTGAAACCAGTCAGATTATGAATTAGATAACGGTTGCTGTCTCCAACAGCCGCAACTGCATGGTCGAGGATCCTGAAAGAATTATCCTTTCTCCGAGTATAAGGTAGGTGCGGATATCCTCTCTGCCCCGGCTGTATAAAACCGCCCATACGTCATCGAAGATGCGGATATTGTCAGAACACCTTACTGCCAGGTGGTCTCCATCGCCCCTACCGTAAACTCCTCCAGCTGATACACCTGGCTAGACTTTAAAAAGACCGCCTTCATCTTCATGAACGAGGGGAAATATCACGGATCTTTCAAAGAAGATCATTGTGACTGCCAAGGGCGGATCTGCCTTGGCCTACTTGGAGTACAGCTTTCGTTGCTCCAAGTGCTACAGAATGAACCGTAAAAGGATAAGCTATCCTCGATATAAATATCGTGCCTGTTCAAATCTACGGGAGGCAGGATTCAGCGTCTAGTCTGTCAAATAGATCCTCTAACTATTGTTTAGCTGTCTGAGGGAACTGTTTGACCTGGGGCTTTCTGGAAGATTCCAAAGTACTGGTGGAGAGTGCAGTATTGGGATTTTTATTCTTTTTTGGCTGATGGTGTAGAAGACACCTGCACCAGGGCAGTCTCTGGCGCAGGGTGGTCTGCAGGTGGAGGTGCAGTCGTTGTGGGAACAGACGCAGCGGTCTTCACGCTGTTCCCCTGGTTTGAGGTTTGGGAAATGCCCGCCACCCCGAGAGGACAGTTTATCCTTTTATGGCACATCCTATGGCACTTGGAGCAATGGAAGCCGTACTCGAAGTAGGCCAAGACATCCGGCTTTGGCAGTGGCAATGATTTTCTTTGGAAGATCCGTTATCTTTTCCCCTTCGTTTATCAAGACGAAGGCGGTCTTCTTCGCGTCTAGCCAGACGTAGCTGCCGGAGGTGTTCACGGTAGCGGCGATGGAGACCACCTGGCAGTAAGGTGTTCTGACAATGTCCGCCTCTTCAATGATGTATGGTAGGCCGCTGATGGTGATTCTTTCGGCCTTTTTCTGGTAAGGAAAAGGCCTTTAGGAGGAGCCCGTTAATTAACAGAACATACATTTACATGAGGTTTTAGATGATTTTTTTATTTTATGGTCTACCAATACCTGGGGTGGATTAATATGTGCGTTTCCTTTTGCACGGGTCTTAACAACAGCGAACATGCGGGTTATTTAGGGGGGGGGGGGGTTATGTTACGCTATTTTAAGACGATTTGAAAAAAAAAGTAAATTTTGTAGGGAGTAAATTCACATATTTATTTCAAATCAGAGCGCTATTTCCCCCTAAGGACACTTGCTGTCATACATATTTGCCTCTACATTTGTCTAAAGATATTTACAATAATTTTAGGACGTGATTTATTTATTTATTATCATTTACAAAGCACGCGATATCCGTCTTGGATATTTGCATGCATACACAAGTTTGGGAGCTTATTTACAGTAATTATTAATAGCAAATTAGTTATTATAATAGAAATTATTAACATATTTGCCAGTTAGTTAACGATTTAATTACCCTATAATTAATATTAGTGAACATCACATAAGAACAGAAATTTAGAGCTATTTACAGCATATAACTATATTACAGCCCAGGCTATCTATTACTAAAAAACATTCTACAAAATCTATTAAAATTTATATACATATATCTATTATTAACTATTTGATTTAGACAATTTATATTTATTTGATTTTTGACTCTCAAGTCCTCTACAAGTCGACAGTCCGTTAAAATATGTACAGGAAATTCTTCTTCTGCACCACATGAGCATTTATGATCTAAAGTTACCGTGTCCAGTAAAAAATTGGACATTGTAAAAGTTTGGCTTTACATATTTGGGTATTTGGGAATCAGTGAAGAAGGACTTGAAAATGGTATTAGTCTTCTCATAGTATTTCTGCAATTTTTCCCTTATGTAATTAGAAATTATATTCCTACTTGAAGAGTCAAATCGGTTGTAATTTATTTCGGTTTTCAACATGTTAGTTTCAATATATTCAGTAAGTTTGGGGACTTGTGCAAGTATATGTGTACAATCCGATGATGTTGTACTGTAGGCCTGTATACAATGTTTTAATATACTATATTGAAGAGAATTAAGTTTGTCTCTTTAGACTTTTTGTTTATGAATGGATACCATATTGGATAACCATAAGTAATTGTACTTCGATATAATGTCTTATACAATATCAGTCTTCGTCTGAAGTCCAGACCCCATGCTTTCTTTGTCAGGCCAAATAGGTATCCACTAGCTCTAGTTACCTTTATGATCATTTCATTAACGTGAGGCGTAAAGTCCAGTTTGCTTCTGACTCGGTGATTTTTGATAGTTACTCCTAGAATCTTAAGTTCTTCAACCGGTTTAATTAACTTGCTACCTGAGACTATTATATCGCTATTGCATTTATATAATATAATATTTTTGTTTTTTCATCTGGCAATTTTAATTTACGACTTTCACACCACTTATTGATTTTTCTTAATACATTATCTATTGTCTTTCTTAGTTGTTCAGGAGTTTTATTCCAACATATTAACGTAATATCATCTGCATATCCTATTGTTTCACAATTATCATCCAGATTATTATTCAGTATCTCATTAATAAGGATATTCCATAATGTGGGAGACAGTGGTCCTCCCTGTGGACATCCTTTACTTAGTTTCTTATTAATTTCAGTTGAGGAATATCTTAATCTTATTCTTCTATTATCAAAGTATGATTGTAGA